GGGGAAGCTGGTGATGGAGCCTGGGCTCCAGCGTGCAGGGGGAAGCTGGTGATGGAGCCTGGGCTCCAGCGTGCAGGGGGAAGCTGGTGATGGAGCCTGGGCTCCAGCGTGCAGGGGGAAGCTGGTGATGGAGCCTGGGCTCCAGCGTGCAGGGGGAAGCTGGTGATGGAGCCTGGGCTCCAGCGTGCAGGGGGAAGCTGGTGATGGAGCCTGGGCTCCAGCGTGCAGGGGGAAGCTGGTGATGGAGCCTGGGCTCCAGCGTGCAGGGGGAAGCTGGTGATGGAGCCTGGGCTCCAGCGTGCAGGGGGAAGCTGGTGATGGAGCCTGGGCTCCAGCGTGCAGGGGGAAGCTGGTGATGGAGCCTGGGCTCCAGCGTGCAGGGGGAAGCTGGTGATGGAGCCTGGGCTCCAGCGTGCAGGGGGAAGCTGGTGATGGAGCCTGGGCTCCAGCGTGCAGGGGGAAGCTGGTGATGGAGCCTGGGCTCCAGCGTGCAGGGGGAAGCTGGTGATGGAGCCTGGGCTCCAGCGTGCAGGGGGAAGCTGGTGATGGAGCCTGGGCTCCAGCGTGCAGGGGGAAGCTGGTGATGGAGCCTGGGCTCCAGCGTGCAGGGGGAAGCTGGTGATGGAGCCTGGGCTCCAGCGTGCAGGGGGAAGCTGGTGATGGAGCCTGGGCTCCAGCGTGCAGGGGGAAGCTGGTGATGGAGCCTGGGCTCCAGCGTGCAGGGGGAAGCTGGTGATGGAGCCTGGGCTCCAGCGTGCAGGGGGAAGCTGGTGATGGAGCCTGGGCTCCAGCGTGCAGGGGGAAGCTGGTGATGGAGCCTGGGCTCCAGCGTGCAGGGGGAAGCTGGTGATGGAGCCTGGGCTCCAGCGTGCAGGGGGAAGCTGGTGATGGAGCCTGGGCTCCAGCGTGCAGGGGGAAGCTGGTGATGGAGCCTGGGCTCCAGCGTGCAGGGGGAAGCTGGTGATGGAGCCTGGGCTCCAGCGTGCAGGGGGAAGCTGGTGATGGAGCCTGGGCTCCAGCGTGCAGGGGGAAGCTGGTGATGGAGCCTGGGCTCCAGCGTGCAGGGGGAAGCTGGTGATGGAGCCTGGGCTCCAGCGTGCAGGGGGAAGCTGGTGATGGAGCCTGGGCTCCAGCGTGCAGGGGGAAGCTGGTGATGGAGCCTGGGCTCCAGCGTGCAGGGGGAAGCTGGTGATGGAGCCTGGGCTCCAGCGTGCAGGGGGAAGCTGGTGATGGAGCCTGGGCTCCAGCGTGCAGGGGGAAGCTGGTGATGGAGCCTGGGCTCCAGCGTGCAGGGGGAAGCTGGTGATGGAGCCTGGGCTCCAGCGTGCAGGGGGAAGCTGGTGATGGAGCCTGGGCTCCAGCGTGCAGGGGGAAGCTGGTGATGGAGCCTGGGCTCCAGCGTGCAGGGGGAAGCTGGTGATGGAGCCTGGGCTCCAGCGTGCAGGGGGAAGCTGGTGATGGAGCCTGGGCTCCAGCGTGCAGGGGGAAGCTGGTGATGGAGCCTGGGCTCCAGCGTGCAGGGGGAAGCTGGTGATGGAGCCTGGGCTCCAGCGTGCAGGGGGAAGCTGGTGATGGAGCCTGGGCTCCAGCGTGCAGGGGGAAGCTGGTGATGGAGCCTGGGCTCCAGCGTGCAGGGGGAAGCTGGTGATGGAGCCTGGGCTCCAGCGTGCAGGGGGAAGCTGGTGATGGAGCCTGGGCTCCAGCGTGCAGGGGGAAGCTGGTGATGGAGCCTGGGCTCCAGCGTGCAGGGGGAAGCTGGTGATGGAGCCTGGGCTCCAGCGTGCAGGGGGAAGCTGGTGATGGAGCCTGGGCTCCAGCGTGCAGGGGGAAGCTGGTGATGGAGCCTGGGCTCCAGCGTGCAGGGGGAAGCTGGTGATGGAGCCTGGGCTCCAGCGTGCAGGGGGAAGCTGGTGATGGAGCCTGGGCTCCAGCGTGCAGGGGGAAGCTGGTGATGGAGCCTGGGCTCCAGCGTGCAGGGGGAAGCTGGTGATGGAGCCTGGGCTCCAGCGTGCAGGGGGAAGCTGGTGATGGAGCCTGGGCTCCAGCGTGCAGGGGGAAGCTGGTGATGGAGCCTGGGCTCCAGCGTGCAGGGGGAAGCTGGTGATGGAGCCTGGGCTCCAGCGTGCAGGGGGAAGCTGGTGATGGAGCCTGGGCTCCAGCGTGCAGGGGGAAGCTGGTGATGGAGCCTGGGCTCCAGCGTGCAGGGGGAAGCTGGTGATGGAGCCTGGGCTCCAGCGTGCAGGGGGAAGCTGGTGATGGAGCCTGGGCTCCAGCGTGCAGGGGGAAGCTGGTGATGGAGCCTGGGCTCCAGCGTGCAGGGGGAAGCTGGTGATGGAGCCTGGGCTCCAGCGTGCAGGGGGAAGCTGGTGATGGAGCCTGGGCTCCAGCGTGCAGGGGGAAGCTGGTGATGGAGCCTGGGCTCCAGCGTGCAGGGGGAAGCTGGTGATGGAGCCTGGGCTCCAGCGTGCAGGGGGAAGCTGGTGATGGAGCCTGGGCTCCAGCGTGCAGGGGGAAGCTGGTGATGGAGCCTGGGCTCCAGCGTGCAGGGGGAAGCTGGTGATGGAGCCTGGGCTCCAGCGTGCAGGGGGAAGCTGGTGATGGAGCCTGGGCTCCAGCGTGCAGGGGGAAGCTGGTGATGGAGCCTGGGCTCCAGCGTGCAGGGGGAAGCTGGTGATGGAGCCTGGGCTCCAGCGTGCAGGGGGAAGCTGGTGATGGAGCCTGGGCTCCAGCGTGCAGGGGGAAGCTGGTGATGGAGCCTGGGCTCCAGCGTGCAGGGGGAAGCTGGTGATGGAGCCTGGGCTCCAGCGTGCAGGGGGAAGCTGGTGATGGAGCCTGGGCTCCAGCGTGCAGGGGGAAGCTGGTGATGGAGCCTGGGCTCCAGCGTGCAGGGGGAAGCTGGTGATGGAGCCTGGGCTCCAGCGTGCAGGGGGAAGCTGGTGATGGAGCCTGGGCTCCAGCGTGCAGGGGGAAGCTGGTGATGGAGCCTGGGCTCCAGCGTGCAGGGGGAAGCTGGTGATGGAGCCTGGGCTCCAGCGTGCAGGGGGAAGCTGGTGATGGAGCCTGGGCTCCAGCGTGCAGGGGGAAGCTGGTGATGGAGCCTGGGCTCCAGCGTGCAGGGGGAAGCTGGTGATGGAGCCTGGGCTCCAGCGTGCAGGGGGAAGCTGGTGATGGAGCCTGGGCTCCAGCGTGCAGGGGGAAGCTGGTGATGGAGCCTGGGCTCCAGCGTGCAGGGGGAAGCTGGTGATGGAGCCTGGGCTCCAGCGTGCAGGGGGAAGCTGGTGATGGAGCCTGGGCTCCAGCGTGCAGGGGGAAGCTGGTGATGGAGCCTGGGCTCCAGCGTGCAGGGGGAAGCTGGTGATGGAGCCTGGGCTCCAGCGTGCAGGGGGAAGCTGGTGATGGAGCCTGGGCTCCAGCGTGCAGGGGGAAGCTGGTGATGGAGCCTGGGCTCCAGCGTGCAGGGGGAAGCTGGTGATGGAGCCTGGGCTCCAGCGTGCAGGGGGAAGCTGGTGATGGAGCCTGGGCTCCAGCGTGCAGGGGGAAGCTGGTGATGGAGCCTGGGCTCCAGCGTGCAGGGGGAAGCTGGTGATGGAGCCTGGGCTCCAGCGTGCAGGGGGAAGCTGGTGATGGAGCCTGGGCTCCAGCGTGCAGGGGGAAGCTGGTGATGGAGCCTGGGCTCCAGCGTGCAGGGGGAAGCTGGTGATGGAGCCTGGGCTCCAGCGTGCAGGGGGAAGCTGGTGATGGAGCCTGGGCTCCAGCGTGCAGGGGGAAGCTGGTGATGGAGCCTGGGCTCCAGCGTGCAGGGGGAAGCTGGTGATGGAGCCTGGGCTCCAGCGTGCAGGGGGAAGCTGGTGATGGAGCCTGGGCTCCAGCGTGCAGGGGGAAGCTGGTGATGGAGCCTGGGCTCCAGCGTGCAGGGGGAAGCTGGTGATGGAGCCTGGGCTCCAGCGTGCAGGGGGAAGCTGGTGATGGAGCCTGGGCTCCAGCGTGCAGGGGGAAGCTGGTGATGGAGCCTGGGCTCCAGCGTGCAGGGGGAAGCTGGTGATGGAGCCTGGGCTCCAGCGTGCAGGGGGAAGCTGGTGATGGAGCCTGGGCTCCAGCGTGCAGGGGGAAGCTGGTGATGGAGCCTGGGCTCCAGCGTGCAGGGGGAAGCTGGTGATGGAGCCTGGGCTCCAGCGTGCAGGGGGAAGCTGGTGATGGAGCCTGGGCTCCAGCGTGCAGGGGGAAGCTGGTGATGGAGCCTGGGCTCCAGCGTGCAGGGGGAAGCTGGTGATGGAGCCTGGGCTCCAGCGTGCAGGGGGAAGCTGGTGATGGAGCCTGGGCTCCAGCGTGCAGGGGGAAGCTGGTGATGGAGCCTGGGCTCCAGCGTGCAGGGGGAAGCTGGTGATGGAGCCTGGGCTCCAGCGTGCAGGGGGAAGCTGGTGATGGAGCCTGGGCTCCAGCGTGCAGGGGGAAGCTGGTGATGGAGCCTGGGCTCCAGCGTGCAGGGGGAAGCTGGTGATGGAGCCTGGGCTCCAGCGTGCAGGGGGAAGCTGGTGATGGAGCCTGGGCTCCAGCGTGCAGGGGGAAGCTGGTGATGGAGCCTGGGCTCCAGCGTGCAGGGGGAAGCTGGTGATGGAGCCTGGGCTCCAGCGTGCAGGGGGAAGCTGGTGATGGAGCCTGGGCTCCAGCGTGCAGGGGGAAGCTGGTGATGGAGCCTGGGCTCCAGCGTGCAGGGGGAAGCTGGTGATGGAGCCTGGGCTCCAGCGTGCAGGGGGAAGCTGGTGATGGAGCCTGGGCTCCAGCGTGCAGGGGGAAGCTGGTGATGGAGCCTCTCCTCCAGCGTGCAGGGGGAAGCTGGTGATGGAGCCTGGGCTCCAGCGTGCAGGGGGAAGCTGGTGATGGAGCCTGGGCTCCAGCGTGCAGGGGGAAGCTGGTGATGGAGCCTTAGCTCCAGCGTGCAGGGGGAAGCTGGTGATGGAGCCTGGGCTTCAGCATGCAGGGGGAAGCTGGTGATGGAGCCTGGGCTCCAGCGTGCAGGGGGAAGGTGCTCCACACTTCACTGCTCCCTCTCCTGCGAGTCTGAGACCTGGGAGGACGGCAGCCCCTGGGCAGCTGCGGGCATCCGTCCTGCTCACGCCGCTCTGGGTGTTCCCTGCACAGCACCAGGCGCTCTCCGAGTACCGGCCCATCCTGTCCGAGGCGCACCGGCTGCAGCACCACAGCTCCATGGCGGATAAGAAGCTGGTCCTCATCCCGGTCATCTTCATTTGCCTCCGGGTCTGGAGCACCGTGCGATTCGTGCTGACCCTCTGTGGCTCCCCGGCCGTGCGGGCCCCGGTGCTGGTCGTTCTGCACGTAGGTAGCTTTGCCCACCCTTCTTCTTCCCCCCCGGCCCCCCTGCCCTGCTGCTCCCAGCGGCAGTGTCAGATCACCCCCCTCCACACACACAGAGTGAGCACGTCCCAATGCATCCGCCAATGCAGGGCTGCCAGGGGGCTCGGCTCCAGTCCCTTCCTGCCGCCCGCCCGAGACAGGGAGCCTGGGTGAGAGAAGGTGGAAGGTCAGCGTGGCTCTAGTGCAGCCCCCGCGCGTGCGTCCAGTGCTGC